GCCGCAGCATGATACCGTGGTCCACGGTATCAAAAGCCGGTGGGGCACTCACTGAGGCAGGTGCTGCCAGTAATGAAGCCAGGTGGGGAGGGAGCTGCCAGTGCCGCTGCCATGAGGTGAAGCCAGTGGGGGAAGGGGGATAGGACCCAGGTGCCCTGCTTCCTGGTATCATGCCGCAGCCTCTCATGCTTCCCAACTGGTCCTGGGCACAACGTTGCATCCCCACGTGGCAGTGTTGCTGAAATTGGCCGCATCACCAGTGAGGCGATATGAGAGCTTTGGCAGGATTCCAGGAAGCGGGGCATGTGGGTCGAATCCCACTTCCTCACTGACTTTGCCTCATGGCAGCGGCACTGGCAGTTCCCCCCCCCAACCTGGCCCATTTCCCCAACTCCATTACCAGCAGCAGCTCCCTCAAGTGGCAATCTGCATAGCTAGTCAATGTATCTCTATGACTTCCACCTTCACTTTTCATGTTTCCAGTTTCACCCTCCCTCGGAGGCAGCAGGGCCTGTGGGGTGATGGCGGCTGTATTTTGGTGAAGGTGACTGAGCTGGAACCCATGGAAGTGGAGGAGGGCGAGCTGTTGGGCGCTCACTGAGGCAGCTGCTGCCAGTAATGGAGCTGAGGAAACGACCCTGGAAACCAGCCCCACTTGTGCTGCGGCCAATTTTGGCATGCTGCTGCATCACGGGGATGCAGCATCATGCCGCAGCACCAATGGGGTGGTGTGAGAGGCTCCAGCAGTGGGGCATGTGGGCTCCAGGAATCGGGGCATGTGGGTCTAATCCCCCTTCCCCCACTGGCTTCACCTCATGGCAGTGGTACCGGCAGCTTGTCCCCCACCCAGCCCATTTCCCCAGTTCTGTTACCGGCAGCAGCTGCCCCAGCGAGCACCCCATTGGCATGGCTGGTTCCTCTGCTGATGCTGTAGCAGAGGTGAGGGGATAGCAGGGGCTCCAGTCTGAAGTAATAGCTTGACCTTCTCCACTTCCATGGCCTCCAGCTTGGTCGCCTTCACCGAAATACGGAGGCCCCGTACACCCACCATCACCCCACAGGCCCCGCGACCACCGAAGGAGGACAAGACCGGAAACCGGAAAAGTGTTGATGGAAGCCATAGAGATGCTGACTGGCTATGCAGAGCACCATTCGAGTTAGCGGCTGTGCCAATGAGAGGGGCGGACTGTGGCAGCGACTTAAGAAATTATTTTTTGCCCGGCCTCAGGAGATGGGTTTTCATGTTATCCCACCTCGCGGTTGCCAGAAAATAGGAAAAAGTACCTTTGTAGGTTAGGTGAACCTGACGATTATTAATGTTCTCAATTTGCGCAATCAGGAGTGTGTGTGTGTGGGTGTTCTGCCATGGATCAACCGGTTCTTCAAACTCAAAAATATTTAGGCACCAGTTTCTCTCGAACTGGTGCAAACTGGCTGAATCCTACCTCTGGCCTTAGAAATCAAATAAAATGTACAGTGTACAGTCACCATGGGCCTTGCTCCTTAACGAGTGTTGGTGTCTACTGCCTTGTGACTCACTACATTATTCCTTATGGGAGAAATTTCATTGGTATTTGTCATTTTTGGTACTGATTGCACCTCCTGGAACCAATTAACGATGAATACTGAGGTACCGCTGTATTATAATTAAAGGAGAAGAGACTAACTAATACAGAATGGAGTGAAGTAAACTAACTTTGGAATGGAACCTGCTGTTAGAAAATCTGTTTTATTATACAGAAATGGTAGCAGAGGATTATTATATAGTCATACAGATGGGTAGCAGAGGATGGTGACATAGCCATACAGATTAAATAAAATGTACAGTGTACAGTCACCATGGCCCTTGCTGCTTAACAGGTTCAACTTCACAGGAAACTCTCCTCAGAACAAGTAGAAGAAGATACTGGATCTAGTCTAGGTTCAGCCCTAAGAATGGGTTGACAAATACATTGGTTGCATTGTGGATGTTCTGCACTGGGATCTAGATGGGTGGCACGCCCTTTTTCTTGTTGTGTTAATTCTGTCAGCAGCTTTTTATTACCATCAAGCATGGTATCCTTTGAAGACAACTATGAAGTTTGCTCTGGTTGGAGAACATGAAGTCCACAGAGAAATTTATTGAAAATACTAAGACTTAACGGATAGTAATATGTTGCATTGGCATCCAAAGGGGGAAAAAAGATAAAACATAACAAGCAGGTTAGGCATGTTGTGTGAACCCAGCAATATATTGAACACGTTTCAGTGTTGAGTAAATAGAAGCAAAACATAATATTAAGTGAATAGGTACATAGGAAACATTTATTATAGTGAATAGCTACTCCATAATTACTTTTATGCTTTTTACATTGTTTATGTTTAAAACTTTGTGGGAATAGCACAAAATTTATAAGGGTGTGGATGCATTGTCACTTTTACGACGGGTGCTTCATTGAGTTCTTTCACTCCTTCAGGCAACCGGAAGCTGAAGGCCCTCAACAGGCTGATCAGAAAGATGAACATCTCAATTCTTGCCAGCTGCTGTCCCATGCATACACGTTGACCTGTAGATGAGACAAAGCATGCATGAAGGGAATAATAATCTGTTCTCCAGTTTATAAGTACATCATCAAGGAAATCTTAAAAGATTTGTAACATCCCGAGAAGATTTCTATGTTGACCTGGCAATACTGTGGTAGGGGAAATTCTTCAGTCATTAAAATGGCAGAGTTAATGAATCTAGGAGCAAAACTCTGTGGCCTGAATCCATTGGTAACAAGCTATAACTAGGCTTGGATTTTGGATTTAGCTAATAATCATTCCCAAAACACCAGAGACAATTGTGCAAATGTGTACATGTCTTATAAAACTCTACTGATTAGAATGTAATTATTACTAGTATTTCTTTGTCATTGAAACCCTGTAGCCTAAGGAGAACTTCAGACTCTCAGAGTTTGGAAACTAGAAGGAATCCAGATTCCTTGATTTTCTGTTCAGACCATGATAATTTCAGAATCTGTGATTTTAGTGGTGGTGGGAAAGTATAAATTATAAATTGCTTTGGGCTCATGGATGTACCTATTCCAAATGGCAGGAACTCTTCCCGTTCAATGAACTTCCCATCCTTGTCTAAAAAGTGATTTGGGTTGAATTCTTTAGGTGT